CTATCCAAGACTTTGATGAAGACGAAGATTTTGAAGAAGAAATACAATTAGAACTTGAGCCAGAAAATTGTTTCAGGAAACTGAAAATCAAGGGGATATGAGCGATTTTTGCGACTCACAGATAAGTTCAGAAGTTGATTGGTCCGAAACAACAACAGAATTTGACGGGAATGAAGAAATTTCTCCATGCAAAGTACCAAGACTAGATTTGAATACAACTGAATAGTGATATCTTGTAATAAGATTGATACTTGTCATATTTCATATCTATTAATAAAAATATATTCTATATTTACATTTTGTAATTTATATTTTATTTTTCACCAAAATCCACAGGCTGAAATTTTCCAGTCTTGGCACCTCGATCTTTGAAACCAGCGACCCAAAAAACATAAGAGATGAGTAAGTTTGCAGAACAACAAGAACAGTCGAGAAACACCCCTACTCAGGGGTGTTTTTGCAATTTTAGGGGTGGTTCAACCATTGCTGCAAGTTTTAACCGCCATTTTCGTAATTAGCGCTCCAAAAAACGTAAGAGATGAGTTAGTTTGCAAAACAACAAGTACAGTCGAGAAACACCCCTACTGAGGGGTGTTTTTGCAATTTTAGGGGTGGTTCATTCATCGCCATTTTCGTAATCAGCGCCCCAAAAAACTTATAAGATGGCTTAGCTTCGTGAAACAATGAGTTCAGTCGAAAAACACCCCTACTTAGGGGTGTTTTTTGCAATTTTAAGGGTGTTCCAACCCTTGCAGGTAGCTTTAACCCTCATTTTCGTAATCAGCGCCCCAAAAAACATATAAGATGGCTTAGTTGAGCAAAACAACAGGTACAGTCGAAAAACAACCCTATTTAGGGGTGTTTTTTGCAATTTTAAGGGTGTTTCGCGCCCCTGCGGCGTTTCTAACCCTCATTTTCGTGATCAGCGACCCCAAAAACATAAGGGGTAGGGGGTCTCTTCATGCGGACCAATTCTACCCCTTTTACCTTTCCTTTAAATGGACTATGATGCAAAGAAATACAAATGTTGGAAATAAAGTAATAAACCTTATTGCTACTAAAAACTACAAGAGTTGTTCAAAATGACCTCCATTTTGTTCGATGCATTTTCTTGCTCGTTTTAAAATATGGTTGACGGCTTTACTGAGTACATCGGGATTATTTGTCATTTCTTCGCACGCGTTTTCTATCCTCCCACCTAGTTTTTCCCTACTATTTATGGGAGTGGAATATACTTTTGTTTTTAGATGTCCCCAAACGTGGTAATCCAGCGGCATATAAAACTTTATTTTTATCAATATATTTCACGTTTATGACAATAACAAATTAGTAGATATACATCTAGTCTACGTGGAATGTTGTGGAAACTACTTATTACATTTCTTAATTTATAATTAACTGAATTTTTGTCCATTTAGTTTTGTAAATACTCCTTCTTTAATACCTAAACAATTTCGTAAATTCAAGTACTTTTCCTATTATACATTCCAATCTCATTAACAAACTCAGATCTATCTTAACTTGTTGCGAAATATTTTAATGATCAACCATCAGTTTATCCCATCAATGAAATTCCGGAACTCTCTCACAGACATTTTAATTAATATAGTCGCATTATAAGTTGACTGATTCACTTCAAATTGCCGAATTCTCCTTTCTCGCTCTCCTAAATGCCACTGATGTATGGGATACAGTCTGAAATAACTGACCTAAATCCAAGTATTATCAAGTAACTTTCCAACTTCGATTCAAATGCTCAAATGTAAGATCACATACCTCTCCCGTCAATGCCCAAGTCTCTTTGCAGCTTCAGAGGTATTTCTGTTTTAAACATAATGAAATCATTAGAAACCCGGAATTCTGACCAGCCACCGTGAAATTCGACATCGCCTAAAGTTACGTCCACTATAATTTAACACCACTTGTAGTACATATTTGCATAATTATTATTAGAAGGAACATGCACTGATGGCTGGTAAATTGCACTAAAACGAACATTACCGTACGTGAGACGGGGATAGAATGTTGAAAAACAACTAATCAAAATATTTTGATTTGAGAATAATACTGGAATGCGGTTCAAAAATGTTCTACCCCGTTCATGAGAACTAATTTGTCGGCATATTACTCCTATTATACCCCTACCTTCAAAATTCCAAGAACGGGTCGTCGAGCCACATTTCCCCTATCATAGGAAATGGATCGGCGATTTATTTAGTTATACCGGTGAATTGAAGATTTGAACGTATTTAGTAAAATTTTGAGCCTAAAAAAGAAAGTTATTTGTGAATTTTCCAATAAAACTAAAAAAATTACTTAGTCAAAACATTCTTCGTTTAAGAACATCTGTTAAGAAGGCAGTTTTTTATAGAAAAGAAAATAGTATTAGCACTATTAATAACGTTTTGCTTTTAAAGAAAGACATAGACAATGCAAGTTTTCACGTTTTTGGTGATCATAAAAACTGCGATATTTATTAGAGATTGGACTCCCTAGACTTCAAACTCAGTCTGTCTTAACAGAAAATCTATTCATTGTCCAAAATTTACTTCTTGTAATCGTAAGGGGTTGCAGGAATACTGGCACAAATCAGAATGGTAGAAGAATTATAGTCAAACCAAAAGTGAAGATATTTGTCAGAAGCATACAGATGAAACCAAAAACGAAATAACCAATTTCAGATCTAAACCTGAATTTTTTACAAAACTTCCACCAATTATACATGCATTGTCAGATCACAGCAAAAGTCTATTACATGATGTTGATAGTAATATTGTGGATCAATTTCATGCGACAGTCGCTAAATTTGTAGGTGGCAAAAAAATCCATTATTCCAGGGGGTGCTCTTACCAAAGTAGATGTTTTGCAGCAGTTGTATCATATAATTCAAAATCTGGGAATTCAGAATTAAAAAATCTTTAAACCGTACTAACCAATCCATGTTAGAAACTGAATTGAAAAAAATAAAGGCGACAATTGGCAATAAAATCAAAATCTAATCGCAAATTAAAAAAAGTTATTTTACAAAAACCAATAAAACTGATTTAGATTAAGAAAATTGTACCAAAAAGAATTTAGATCAAGATATTTATGAAGTAAAAAACTTTAATTTTAAAACGAATTCCTTTCATCTGACGTTAAAAGAAATGTAATTCAGGAATAAACTATGTCACAGGCGGATAGCAGGGTTTGGCTTCGTAGAAAAATTGATTACGGCCTCACACTTTAAAACAGTGTGTACTAGATGAATTACTTCTTTATGTGAGCCTTTAGTCAAAAGGATTATTTACCAACCACCAGTCAATGCTGTTCCTATTTCAATTAAAAAATCTTTTAAAAGAAAGACTTCGAAGGAAAGTGCATGCGTTCTTCTTTAGAAAAGAATTTCCGACAGTAGACAAAGTTCTTGCCACGGTTCGAGATGATAAGGATTACCCTGAAATAAGTCGAAGCACACTATGGAAACTTTTAAAAGAAATAGGTTTTCTATGGAAAAAGCATTCCAGAAGGTCTATTTTAATAGAAAGAAGCGATATTGTAGTATGGAGAAGAAATTACCTAAGGACTATAAAAGAACTGAAAAACCAAAGAAGAAATATATTTTATTTAGATGAAACATGGATCAACGAGGGACATAAACCAAATAAATTTTGGCAAGGTGAAACTGTTACAAGTCGAAGACAGGCTTTTTTAAATAATTTATCTACTGGTTTAAATCCACCATCAGGAAAGGGGCGCAGACTAATAATAGTACACATCGGTAGTTCAAACGGTTTTGTTATAGGTGGTTTATTGACTTTTGAATCTACTCGTACCGGTGACTACCATGAGGACATGAATGCTGATGTCTTTAAAGAGTGGTTTGACCAAATTATAGATCTTCTTCCTCAGAACTGTATAATAGTAATGGATAATGCAAGTTATCACTCGAGACTTATAGAAAAAATGCCCACAACCAAGTGGTTAAAAAAAGATTTACAGAATTGGCTAAATTCAAAGAATATTAAGTTCCATCCCGGTTCTGTGAGAAAAGAACTGTATCATTTGTGTTCCCTTCATAAAGAGAAATTCAAAAAATATGAAATTGATGAAATTGCCAAAAATCGTGGGATGACGGTGGTTAGATCACCACCATATCATTGCGAAGTAAACCCGATTGAACTGATATGGGCACAGATAAAGGGAGAAGTTTCAAGAAAAAATAATTCTTTTAAAATGAGTGATGTTAAACAGTTGTTTTTGGAGGCTGTAAATAATGTGAAGCCTGAAAACTGGGAAAAGGCAGTAAATCATACGATTAAAGAAGAAGAAGAAGAAGAAGAAGAAAAAGAAGAAGAAGAAGAAGAGAAAATGTGGAAGTTGGACAATATTACTGATGAAATGATCGAGCCGCTCATTGTAAATATTGGTTGCGACAGTTCATCTTCTCATTTCGATTCTGATTTGGATTTTTAGGTAAGAAGTAGTTTTTATATTAAGATTATTATTTATGAACGTAACGTTGTTTAAAAGTCAAAGTTTAAACTCTTGTAACTGCATAACCCGTTTGATACAATGTTCTTAACATACCTTGAGGAAAAATAAAACATTTTAGAAAAAATTGCACTTTTTTACCTTCAGCTGTTTAGAAGTTATAAGCAGGTTAATTAGGTGAAAATATAAGTGTATACTCGAGGAATAACTTCAAAAAATATTTTAACTGTCTACTAAAAGAAGTGTTACGCCTATGGATTACGAACGCTTTATTATTTTAATACTCTCTCATACATAAAAATAGACATTAATGAGAGTAGATCGAATTCGGCGTGTTATTTTGTGTTAAGAAAAGAGTGTTTTTGTGTTATTGAACAGAATTAAAATGAATTCAGGTTTCAATTCAAGAAGAACTTATGTAAATCAACCTAATGTGTTTTGCTATATATGCGGAGAATACATGTTTCAACAAAACAGACAAACTATTACTGACTTTGTAAAGCGAGCGTATCTTGGATATTTTGTAGTTAACCTTGGTTGCTTCGGTGTGAATCTTTTGAGAGATCTTTTTGAAGCCTCGGGAAATCTTCGGTTTCTTTGGAGTAGGATCTCCACGCATCTCTCTGTTTTTGTCTGACGATTTTTTTGTAAGTATCCCAGTCCTCTTTGAGTTTTGTAATTCTTGCCTCATTAAAAGATTTCCTAGCCATCTTCCTGAGGTGATTTAACTCGTGACACCACCATGCGGTAGTCGTCTGATCGTGTTGGATCAGCCTCAGAGGACAGAATTTCTTATAGGCATTGTTTATTGTGCTTTGGATAGTATTCGTGTACTTTTTCAAAGCAGTATTGTTGTTTGGTGTTTCGGCCTCCATCTCTCTTAGAGCCTCTTGGAGAAGGTGGGCATAGGTTGCCTTGTCCGTCTTCCTAGGGTTCCGAGCTAGCGTAGATATTTTAGACCCTACACACCAAATTACCAAACTCATTATTCAATACGAGAAAGTACACCACCAAGGACAAGAGATAGTTGTTAATAACTTAAGACCGAAATGTTGGATTTTAAGACTTAGGCAAACTGTGAAATCTGTCTTAAGCAATCGCCAATACTGTAAAAACAGTAAGGGTCTGCCAGCTGTGCTTTTAACTACCGGAATGCAGTATTGAACCTACCATAAGCCCTTTTATAAAAACCGGTATTAACTATTTTAAACCCAATAAAGTGGCAGTGAAAGGAAGTCACGAAAAGAGATATGGTGTGATATTTAAGTGTATGGTGACTCGGGCAGTTCACTTAGAACTAACTCATGATTTAACTTCTAATGTATTCATTAATACTTTTAGGCAATTTAGATGTCGACGTGGTTTTCCTGACAAAATCTGTAACGACAACGGTAGTAATTTCAAAAGTGGCGAAATAAAAATCTCTTTAGAATTTTAAAAGTAGGACCAGACAGGAAACATGAAAATTTGTGTTAACTTAAAAGATGTGAGTGATTCTGTAATGCATCACTAGCAGCACACATGGGAGGTTGCTTGGAAAGACTTATTCAATCCGTAAAAAATTCTGAGACAAATTTTGGTTGTAAAGTACTCTCATGAACATGTTTTACGTATCCTCTTGGCAGAATGTGAGAACATTTTAAACTCCAGGCCCTTAGTTCATGTATCGCTTGATCCAACTGACCTAGAAGCTTTAACACACAATCATTTTCTTATTGGGCCTTCTTGAATAGAAACAAATGATAAAGACGTAAATATGTTGTCTAGTTGGCGTGCAGCTCAAAAATTTTCCGATATATTTTGGTTTCGTTGGACAAATGAGTATTTATTCACCTTAAACCAATTCAACTTGATGACGTAGTTATTACGGTGGATTCTAGTGGATAGAGAAATTCCTGACAAAAGGGGTTAGTTATTAAACTGTATACTGCTAAAGATGGAAGAACGAGAATAGTTGATGTACGAAATCAAGCAGGAACAGTTAATAAGCGACCAGTATCTAAACTCATTGTTCTTGATATTAGGAAGTAATTGAAACTAAAGAAAAATTACTTGGGGGGAGAAATGTTAAATATTAAGTTCTTTAATCTATATTGGTTGTAATTATGTTTATGTAACTATTTAAAAAAGACGTTCTCATACAATCTGTGTGTATCATTTTCAACTAGATATTACTATTACTATTGAAATAAAGAAATAATACTTATGTTATTGCCAGATGAAGTTAAATAAGTTAAGGATAAGTCTTTTAGCACATTCAGGAATATACTTTCAAAATATAACAGGAATTTCGTTTGCTCCTGGACTTGGATTTGAGTTAAGGTTATTCTGACATACTAAAAGAACGGTTTAAGAAGTTTTTTTGGTGGGATCGGAAAAATGCCAATCTCTTCTGCAGTTATTTTATTTTTAAGAAAAGTGGGGCTATAATTATTATTTGATGACATCCTTTTATAGCTGATAGCAAGAACATTGGCCATCTCATGGGCAGAGCTTGTGATTTTACCGTTAACTTTGAGGCTGGAAATAAATAGTGTACTTTTTAGTCCACAAATCTTCCTAATTCCCTTCCAGACTTCATTATTTGGTGTTGTACTGTTAATATTAGATACACAGCGACTCCAAGACGATAATTTGGCTTGTTTTACTAAGAGATGGGCCTTAAATTTATTTCTTTTGTGTTCTAATTTGTTTTCAATTGATTTGTGTCGCTTGTATTTGTTAAATGCTGCTTTACCTGCTTGAATGGCACTCTCACACATAGTTATATTAAAGTTTAATATGGATTCGTTAATATCGTCTGTAATTTGGAAATTCGATAACGCATTGTCAATGTGATTCTCAAAATCATTCCATTTAGCGGAATCAATTTTCCATTTCGGGATAAAGATATCAGTTGAAGGATCTATCAAATTTCAAATTAATATAGGATGGTGGTCACTACCATATGTATATTTGAGAACTTCCCATGTTAAGCGTGTAAATAGTGATGGATCTATTACTGGGTCCTCTCCGGCATTTATGTTAAATCTGGTAGCAGAACCGTTATTAAGAAATGTCAAATTAAAATCAGAAATTATGTTTTCAATAATTTTACCTCTGCGGTTGATATGTGACGAGCCCCGTAAAAATCTCCAATAATCAAGCGAGGAGTAGGTATTTGATACAGAAGATCTTCCAATTTATTATTACTTACAAAATAACTTGAATGTAGATAGATATTGCAGATGAAATGTTAAGCAGGCGAGCTTACCTCTGTCAATATGTCTTCTAAATTGTTATTAACTGGAAAAACCTTGGCCACTATTATTGTTTTTATCTGTGTAATATTATATTTCATTTGTATGGAACTCATAAAATATATAAAATACATTTTAGTTCACTTCTTTTATTTTCCAATCAAAATTATTTCATAAAATAAAAGTTATTATGAATATATGACAAATGTGAATATTATTAGATTTACAACAAAACCTGACAAACCGTAGTTAAAATTACATATTATAAATATTGTTACACACAAAAAATCAATAATAAATGGTTTTTAAAGCTTCTTGCTTTTTTTAATCTGAAAACTGGTTTTAACAGGTTTTATAATTTTTACGTTTTTATTGTTTTTATCTTCAATTGAAATTAGTAACATTCCAATAATATTAATGATTTATTTTTTGAAAAACTGTTAAATTAAAATTTTTACCTTTCCTACAAGAACAATTTAAAAATAAAACAGTAGTGCATACATAAACAATTAAAATTTCCGAAACAAGGAATTTCTTGATGACCTGCTGTTTCGAAAACTATGTAACATACAACTAAATACTAATACGAACATTTAATAGTATGTTGAAGTTATGAAGCCATAATAGAGGGTAGTAATTTATAAGGTTTTATCGGCAGTAAATCAGCCCTTATATGTAAGGGTTTCCATTCGAGATAATTGACCTTAATGAAGATTACAAAATTTATCTTATGAGAACTTTGACAGAAGAGAGTCCTTTTGGTTTGCACGATTATAAAGTAATGCGTTTATTCAAAACTTTTGTATAACTTCTACAAATTATTCCAATAACGAATAGCAACAAAAAATAAAGTATTATTCAAATAATGGAATTTAATAATAACTATGAGAAGCTAAACTGCTGATACATAAAATCATCGTAATTTGGAGAATTATTCTCAATCTAAAACTCACGTAAAAGTAAAATTAAACTATAATTGGTTTATTATAACTTTATAGAGTTAGATATGGAATCTTTAACTGAATAACTGTAGATCCAAACTTTTTCGAAATACATATATTTCAAAAACAGTATCCTCTCTACCAACATAAGCAGTAATACATCAGCATTTTATGTATTATGGATAGATAACAAGAAAGATCGTTGTAATGATATAATTTTGAATAAATTACGTACTGAGTTAAACTTAAAATATTGTTGCGAATCTGACCATAAAAGCCTTATTGAATTTACGAGGTTGTTCTGTTTGAATGTTAAAAAAAAGTGGCAGAAAAGTTCACGAATACGTGATAAGTTTCTTTCAACTAATAAAGTGTGGCTGGGGCGAAAAGTTCATGTACCTAATTTGGTTGATGCTACCCAACTTCAGCCAGGATCGAGAAAACAAGCACGTGGGAGACCTTACAAACCATTTGAAGAAGTTACTACTAGGGTTAAAAAAATCCGTGTTTCAGATTTGGTGGCAAATCGAACGGCTGAGGAATTGCGGTTTGCAGCAGATTTGGCGAGTGGAAAATCAAGCGGATCCGAACAAGAAAACAAAAAATGTCTGACACCTCATCAGGCTTTAGCCTTATGTCTCGATTTGGACTTATCTGATAGAAAGTACAGAATATTAAGAACTATTATTAACGGACTACATGAAAACTGTCTTCCAAGTTTATATGCTTTGAAAATTGCAAGAAAATCATTTTTACCAACCAGTTTAAAGGTTACGGACACTTCAGCTGAGGTAGAATTGCAGAATTTACTTGACCTAACAGCGCAAAGCATTTGCAAAATATTGGATATTTATGGAACAAGATTTAAGTTAATATATAAGTGGGGTATGGATGGGAGCTCCGGCCATAGCATTTATAAGCAGTTCTTCTCAAATGACGAGGACACTGACGAATTTATGTTTCTGGTAGCCCTAGTTCCACTTAGATTAATCGATGTGGACTCGAATAAAGAGTGCTGGATTAATAAAAAACCGTCATCGACACTATTCTGCAGGCCTGTGAAATTTGTTTTCGCAAAAGAGAACCGAGACCTTGTTCGAAACGAGGAAGCGCAAATGCAACAAAAAATTGATGGCTTGCAGCAGAGTAAAATAATAATTAAGAACGGTAAAGAAATATCTGTTAAGCATGACTTAATTTTTACCATGATGGATGGCAGTGTAGCTAATACTCTGTCTAACACTAATGCTACTTCCAAATGTATTATTTGTGGAGCAACTGCCAGTCAAATGAATGACGGAAACTTTGTAAACAGGCCTCCGAATATATCCAATTACCGTTTTGGATTATCTTCTCTTCACTGCTGGATACGGTTTTTTGAATGTTTCTTGCATATATCGTACAAACTCCCAATAAAATGTTGGCAAGCTCGTGGAGATGAAAATAAGCGAATTGTGGAAAAAAACAAAAAACGGATCCAGGCAGAGTTTAAGTCTAAAATGGGACTTATAGTAGATAAGCCTAAGCCCGGCTATGGATCTTCCAATGATGGAAATACTGCTAGGCGTTTCTTTTTTAATCCCCAACTTTCTTCGGAGATCACTGGCATTAATAAGGAATTAATACAAAAATGTTCGATAATACTTAGAGTAATCGCAAGCGGCTGCGAAATTGATCTAGAACAGTTTGCAGTGTTACTTAAAAGTACCAGAGAAATGTACTTACACTTATACAAGTGGTATAATATGCCTAGCAGCGTTCACAAAATCC